CGCTGCTGGGGAGCCGCCCGCAGGTGAGCGCCGGGCCGCGGGGCGGGTCCCTCCTCCGTGGTGGTGGTGGTGGTGTTGCTGTTCCTGTTGTTGTTCCTGCTGCCGGTCAGTTGTCCCGTTCACCCTCTGTTTCTCTTTGCCCGGCACATGGAAGCTGGAAGGTGCTGCGCTCCCAGTACTCGCAGGCCCAGGAGAAAGAGCCCCGAGATCTCGGCGTCAAACAGGTACAGCTCAGCTTTCTGTGCCTGCCCGGGCTGTGCCGGTGCTGCAGGGAGAGCGCTCCGGACCAGAGCCGAGGCTGAGCTGCATGACTTGCACACCCTGCATCTCCTTGTTTAAATAAGCTTCCTGCAGAAGCTGTACTCTGATGGTTTCCAGTCACGTTCCGTGGTTGTGTGGAGAAGTCGTGGTCACAGAATTTTTGTCGCTGCACTATGCTGTTGACTATAAGACAGTTAAACAGTGATTAAGCTACTATTTGCAGGCTGGTTTTAAAGTGGAAATAACAGTCCAGCTGTATGGCCAAAACTGATACTTAATAGTGCAGCTGACTAAACTTGATTCTTCGACTTCAGGTGGATTGGGCTATACTGTTTAGGTTTGGATCTTAAAGCTGTTTTCTTTGTCTTCTATTTTAATATTTAATTTTAAATTTAACACAAGCTTTTTAATTAACATGACTCAGTTAATACTGATATACTTGTGAGGGAAAATGGCATGTTGGCTACAGCAGACTGGAGGAGTAGGGTGACACCAAGCTAGTGGAGGCAGGCAGAGAGGGTTTATTCAGTTGGTGCATTTGCAGTGTGAAACCTTAGCCTGTGGTAAATGGGCTTGTACTCTGATAATATGGTGGTGGTGTTATTATTATCTCTTTCTTTTTGCCCTTTGGGTGCAGAATTCCAGTTGGGTGCAGTTGCTGCTTCAGCAACTTCAGCTGCCCCCGCAGATGGCAGGGGCTGTGCTGCAGCCAGGACATGGCAGCAGGAGCACAAGGGCCTCTCTAAGGGCTCGTGAATTCTTGCTCTGGTTTTGCAGCATGAGGTGTTTTTTTCACACCAGAACTCTGCTGGTGGGTGAAGGAACTGTGGCTGTGTTGGGAAGTACCACGGTGAGGAGAGTAGGTGCAACAGCGCTGAGCATTAGGTTAAGGCCTCAGTTCTGTCATCTGTTAGAAGCTGAATTTGAAGCGCATCAGGGTGGCAGACCTTGGCAATGTTCTCTTCCCTTTTGGCTTTTTTTTGTTCTCAGAAAGAAGAATGGAACTTTTCTGCAAAGGATTGGTGTGAAGATGCAGATGACTGGGGAGCCTGTGATGGAGCAGAGCCTCCTGCATGTGCCTCCCTTGAGCTGCTTGGCCTAAAGGAAGCTGTGAGCAGCGAGGTGGAGTTTGCATCCCAGCTCCAGCAGCTGCACCTGTGTGAGCCTGCCGATGGCTCGGGTCCCCAGGACACACATCCTGCACCCAGGGAGGACATGGATGGCCCAGGTGCCCAGGACACACATCCTGCAGCCTGTGAGGACATGGTGATGGCAACAGCTGCTTCAGCTCCTGTGTTCCAGCCCTTCTACATTAATGTTGTGGATGAGGAAGACTACATGGGTTTCCTTGACACACATCATGCACATAAGCTACTGAAGGAGTATCAGCAGAGAGAGTGTGTTGATTTGGAACAGATGATGTCAGAAAGGTGAGAACAGGTCTGGATTTCATGGAGAAACTGAAGGAATTGTGTTGTTTCCTGTATGCTGATTGATAATCTAAATGGGACTCTCACTAAACCTGAACGATGATGTCTGGAAGCTCCTTCAGGAGCCAGTGGTGTGCTGTGCAGGAAGATCAGTGCAGTGCAGCCAGTGCTGCCAGATCTGGAGTTACTCAAAGAAGCAGCTATTTCTGAGTGACGGAGCACTTGGAGTGTTCACCGGCTCCAGGTGGTGCAGTGGATAGTTAATCTCTGAAACAGCATCTGTGCTAAATGGCATGACTTTCTATCATGACATTTCATGCCTTTTTCTTTACCGGGCTAAAGCTCTTCTTATGTTCCTGTTGCATGTTCAGGAGTTGAATTTTTCAGGGATTTTGGCTAGAGACCGGGTTGATGGTAGGACACCTGAAGGTTTAGTAAAGGTTGCCTGAAAAGCAATTGTTGAGCGTGGTTACTGAAAATGTTTTCTTAGTAAAATATTGAACTTAGGTGGTCACAGTGAGGACTTTTGGCCACTTGAGCTTGAGCTGTGGACAGCATTGATTTGTTTAGAGCTAAAGCTGCTGTCAGCTGCAGAATTTGCAGAGAAGACTTTTCAACAGTGCTGGTCCTGTTGATTTTTGTTGACCTTTATACAACTGTAGAAGTTCAATTATGCTTGATTCAAAATTGCAAAAGACAACATCACAATTTAAAAACCACAAAATTCTTCAGGAGTTATTAGAGGAAGGGGTTTTTGATGGAATAAAGCAGGTATCTGGAGGATTTGAGTCCCATGTGATAGTTTGCAACACTGTTAGTAAGTCACCAGAAACCAAAGAACGAGAAGCAAAAAGGTTCACTTGCAGCCTCTAACAGCAATTTGCTCCTAACCTGTAGATCTTTTTTTAATGTATTTAGTATAATTTAATGTGAGATTTGAGTAACCATTCCTTAATTAAAACATTCATGTCATACTAAAAACCTTACCAGACACTTTGTTTCTTGTTTTCATACAGTTTTGCAGGTGAAGATGGTAGTGAAAAATATGAGAAGAGTGAAGTAAAAAGCTGGGATCACACATTCCATAAATTCATGAAAAGAATATCTATCTGTCCTGAACAGATTCTAAGGTATGTTGATAATCTGGTTGTAACAGGGAGATACAAATCATTGGCATAGATGGTTGGTACATCAAAATAAATTATTTATTGGAAATATGTGTATGTTTTAATTTCTTAACTGAAAAAAACTGCAGTGGAGGCTGTTGCCATGTCTCTGGTCAGACTTCAGTCCCTGGTTGGGCTTTCTTTTTACAAAGTTTAAGTAGATGAGAAGCAAAGCAGAATCAGAGACCATAGCTCTGGCTGTGGGAGAGTTTTGAAATAAGACCTGATGAGAAGAGAGCCTGACTGTCTTTGAAGCTTTGAAGCCTGACTGTCTTGAAGGCACAGAGATTTCCAAGAGACAGTGTTGAGGGGGAAATATGACAGTGGGGTGCTGTTGTGATAGATTTCCAATGCTGTCTGCTCCTCTGAAATGTTGTGGAATTTCTAATGTCTATCCTGCAAGGAATTACTTGTTTTAAGGCCCCAGTTCTGCAGCTCGTTGTGGACTCCCCTCAGCACCCAGCAGTCTTCAGGTCTTTTAAATCTGTTGCTTTTCCTAGAACAAAAGCAGGTGTAACCTCAGAGTAGCTGCTCTTCCTGAGTGAAGAGTTGATTCTGGATGGGAATATAGCAAAGAGTAAATCTTAAGTCATTCATAGTTTCAGAAAATACAGGTTTTCATGGATCACACTGACTGCTCCAGGGAGTCCAGTGCTGCCTGTCTGGTCAGGCTGTCTCAGTGTAGTGAGAGGGTTTTTGTTTTACCAACTTTGCAGTACCAGGTGGAGCTAACTGGAGTTAGTTCATCTCTTTTTGATGAGGAGTTAAAAGTCTGAGTGGCTGCTTAGACAGAAAAGGGACATGAAAACTTATTAATTGCCAAAGATTATGTAGGAGATTTTCTAGTGTAGAGTACAAGTAGCATTTTCAGACAGCTTTTCACTGGATCTGTTACTTTGCAGTATTATGCTCTTTGAATTTTCCATTCCTATAAAACATCAGCTCTGGTGCTCCTTGGGCTGTCCCTGGTTAGAATCTTTCCATAGCTTCCCTTTGCTCTCCCTGAGGGCTGTCAGTGTGTTCTTAGACTCACATTTCCCCTGCCTGCAGGGTCCCTGTTGGCCTTCAGCAGGGCACAGAATCTCCTGCTTGATATTCAGTGGAAACCATCCTTAGTCTTTGTTTCCTGTAAGCTGCAACGTTCTGGTAGCTCTTAAAAATAAACCAACACTTCTGAGCCATAGCTACAGTGGTTTTGAGACCAGTTTGATGTTAAATCTTATACTTGTTGAATTTTATGTTTTGTTGAATTTTTATATTTTATTGCCACTGTTTAGGATTCCATTTCTTAGGCAAATTAATGAAATTATTCCAGTACAGCATATTTTGGATGTGTCCAGTCAAAGCATTTGTCTCCTCTAAATCCAACTCTTTCCTTAAGATTTTCCAAACATTAACCTACCGTTTCCCCCTCTGTCTTTATTTTTTGGTTCATCATTCCTTTGAAGCTCCTGACTCACAACCATGTTTTTTACTTGAAGTAGGTTCAGAGATTTCAGCAAATCCTGAACACTGTTGCCAGCATCTAAGATTTCCTATCAAATTTAGATATTTAAAATATTTATCATTTTTTCTTTCCTGTCTTCTTTCAGATACTCTTGGGGTGGCCAGCCTTTATTCATCACATGTCCTCCAGCCAACCTGGACCAGGATATTCCAGCCTGCAGTAACTGTGGAAGCAGCAGAGTGTTTGAGTTCCAGCTGATGCCCACGCTGGTCAGCATGCTTCAGAGTGACTCAGGTGCTTGACTTGGTTGAATCAATATTTCTGTCAGTCTCCTTTTTGGGAAAGTGCAGTTTTGAACTGCAGTTTGGGTTGTTTCCAGCTACCCACATGAGCTTAACCACAGGGATGGTGTTCAGAGAATCTCCATTGCAGATTTCAGTGAGCAAAGAGAGAACTCTGCTTTATGGAGTCTCTGATTACAGTTTGAGTTGCTCACTAGTGAACTTGAATAACTGCAGTAGGCATAATTCCACGGCCTTGGGAGTATTTGTCTTTATTGCCTCTTAAAGGAGGCCTTGGAAAATAGATAAGAGATTTGGAGATAAGATTTCAGATAATTAAAAATCTCTTTGAAAATTCTGATTCGGCTGCCTGTAAAATGTTTAACATTACAAAATGCTATTTACAGAGGAGACTGAATTAATTTGTGCAAAGACTAAAGTCTAGAGGTAAGCAATAGCCCCTAATTATGTCACTTTTCATACCCTTATGTACCTTTGTTGCTTTGTTTCTAGATCTGTCAGTGGAATTTGGAACTGTTATAGTTTACACGTGTGAGAGAAGCTGTTGGCCGACCAATCATCAAACTCCTCTTGAAGAATTTATTTTTGTACAAGAAGACCCAGATCAGAGATTATTTAAATAAATTGTATTTCTCTGCATAGATGAAAAGTCTGTTGGGGTGTTTTGGTTTCTTTTACTACTAGTATGTAATTACATACAGAATTTTCCTCAGATGTGGTGAAGAATTAAGTTTGTTTAATGGCATTGTGCTTATTTCCAAGAATAACTGATTGGAAGATATTAGCATGCCTCTAAAATGTGGTGGCAAAATTCACATACTTTGATTACACATGGAAGTTGTAGTGTAGAGCTTGTTTCACAGTTCTAGTTACTCTTAGTATTTGGGAAAGAAGTAAAGGAGAAAACCTTTCTCGTATACTATTAGTATCCATCAGCCACACAGAATCCAGTTTTTAGAAACTCTTACCAGTGGAGAACTTAATGCTAACCTGATTTTAAAAAGCAATTCTGCTTTGATTTGACCACGGATTGGAAATTCGGTGGGGAGTGGCTGAAGGGCCTTGCTGTCCCTGCAGCCTTCCAACATGAAGCTTTTCTGTTTTTCCAGTGAAGGAAAGGTTCCATTTGTTCAGTTTGTAAAATGAGCTGTGGCAGTTCCATGGATTTGTGTAGGGTGAAGATGCAGGGGTGAGTTAACCCTTGTGTTCTCACAGGTACAGAAGTGGGGTAGGCTCAGCACCTGCCTCGGTGCAGGGGGATTGTGCAGCTTTAAAACCATCTGCATTCTCCTGTGCCTTCCCTGCTGGCCTGGGCTGAACTGCAATATCTTCACCGACTGAAAGAAAAGTAATTTGAGTGGCCTTCGAGCATTTTATACAGGTTTAATGCTCCAACATGAATGAATGCACTAAAAGTGTGGGTTTAAAGGGGAGATGGGGAGGAGAGGAAATGACACACATTGCAAAATTGCTCTTAAGGAGGAATTGCAGCTTACCATGTCAGCTTCTGGAGGCAAGCTAGTTAACTTAGGTGAAGTCATAAAAATTAATATAAAAAATAAAAAACATTATAAATAAATATATTAAAAATATCATAGAATATGCTGAGCTGGGGGGGACCCATCAGGATCATGAAGTCCTGGCCCTGCTCAGGATGCCCCATGAATCCCACCATGTGCTTGGGAGCATTATCCAAATGCTTCTTGAGCTCTCTTTATAATAATATAATATATAAAAATCTTTAGCGTATAAACATATCAAATATGTATGTTTGAACAATAAATATATTAAGAATTAATGCAACAAATAAAAATCTTGTGCCAGGAGTGCTCCCTGGGGCTCTCCGGCGGCAGCGGGGCTCGAACTCGGATCA